TTTATGATGATAATCGGTTATATACAAAACTGCACATTTTACAATCTCATTTTAATTGTTAATTTACATTTTGTGTGTATGTGTGTGCAGTACACAAACTATGAATAAATCATAAGAGTTTGAACGGTTTAAACCAATTCATGTCGCAAAGATATCATGATTAAAAAATTTAGAGCTTGTGCTTTTTGGATTTTTTTATTAAAAAGTTATATTTTTCAGGCGGCATTCTTTTATCTTCCCTATAAAGTTTGGCACTCCCTGGAAGGTGGCCTCATTGCATCCTTCGGCACTGACGGGAAAACCCCGGTCATAATTAGGAAACAACATCATGTAGCTTATACTAATTATATGGGAGAAATTATATGTCTGTTTATCTATCATTTGTGATATTGTTTACAATCTTTATTATTGTTGTTACGCAAAAACTAGTTCTTCAGTAGTCCAAAAACGTCACAGCAAAGTGTGCGGAAACCCTATCTCCCCCTCCTTATATTCAATTCTCCTTGATTTAGATGATTTAGATGATTTCTTCCCGGATTCATTTTTGTGAAATAAAATGCCTTAATTTGAAAAGATGTTGATTGATGTTGTATCAGTGAGGATGCCAAGTATGATGATGGTGTAGTAATGGAAGCTGTTGTGGAGAAGTTTGTCAAATATTTTAAATCAATTTATCATCACAACTCATGGTACTTCGCATACTTCATATTATGTAAGTATCTATACATGCAAAGTAGCAATCCCTGTTTGTTTTTAAGTCCAATCATAACTCAGGAATTCCTTGATAAAATTGATGAAACCACGGGAATAGCCGTAGTTCATGGTTTAAAAACTTCTAAATAGAGGGGGTAAACTTTTATACCGAAGGTTTAATTTGATTAAAAAACCTTCAATTTTCAATCATTTTTAACAACGTGTTATTTGCAATTTCTATGTATCTACTGAGTAATTATTGGTGAAATATTGATAACAGCCATTTTTTTGTTAAATTTATTATCAAATTATCAATCTCATGCATCTTTGTCTTTCTCTTTAACAGTATACATAGACTGTTCAGTGGTAGCTAAATTATTTTATTATGCAAAAGTATATAGCTATCAAATATAGATTTTTCAAACAACTTTTCCAAAAATGAATTGAATTTAAAGAAATCTCCGCGAACAAAATTAAAATTTTGAAATTCTCTTGACTAACTTAGAAAGTTAATAATTGAACTTTACAAGATATGAAAACAAAGGAATTCAGTCTTTGCCACAAACTCTGCTTTTTAAAACACTATATCTTTGGATTCCAATGTCGTAGACTTTAGATATTTCAAACTATGAATTCTGTGAGATCAAATAATGTTTGAAATATCAAAGATTTGCGACACTGGGCTCCAAAGATATAGGGATTTTAAACTCAGAGTTTGTGGCAAAGACTCAATTCCTTTGGTAAAAGTCTGAAATTTAATCTTCTCTAATATTGACCAAATTTTGAATTTTTATTTAGTATTTGAGGTTTCCTAACTTCATGCACATATTTTTATTTATCTACTGCAAAAGTATATTAGTTTGCTCTCTAAAAGTGAACATATTTTTCACGTATACTATAACAAACAATTCTATTAAAATCTTATCTTAACAGTTTTTTGTACGAGTGGTTTTCAATAGTTCCCACGGGGTCTGAACTCTGGGGTAAAATTTATGAGTTCAGAATTTGAAAAATGATTTACTGTCTTTATTAGGTCAAAATCTTTAAAATTAACCCTGCTATGGCATTTATATGATTTTCTTGAAACTGATTTTTTTTCATCATAGCAATTATCTTTTTCTTAATGCAAGTTTTTATCCTTTCTAAAAATAGCTTTACACACATACCGCATTTACAGGTTTAAAATTAATATGAAAAATGATAACTTGATAAGCTATAAATTATGATAAATTTCGACCCTCTGCAAAACGGTTTCCATGAACTTTATAAAAGAGGATCGTTATCTAAATAATAGTTTCAACAAAATGTTAAAAAATATGAATAAAATATTGTATGAAGTTTTGTATTCACATCAACAACAAATGATTTTTAAAATTTTATACCTTTTAGTTTTATTTTTATTAAAATTTAAATCTTATACTCAAGTCCAGTCCTGAAGATCTGCCACCCTCATTCTATCAGCTAGTCTATCGTTGAATCTATCACTTGCATAGCTATTTAGAACTGTTTTAAAAAATATATATATTGAGAAATTTCTATCAAAGATTTCTTCTGTAATTCTAAAAAGATTCAATTTAATTACTTTAGTTTAATTAAAACAGTATTAAATATTTTTCATGTGCAATTTCCATATTGTACATTTTACAAATGTATTTAGGCGAATGTATGAACTTCATATTTTTCTCTGTACAGTTCTATCTGACAGATATGTTCTTGGGAAATAAGTTTAAAAAGAACAATAAAACCAGGTTAAAAACCTAAACCTGTTTGTAGAACAATGAAACCACGTTCAAAACCTAAACCTATTTTTAAACAATAAAACCACGTTAAAAACCTAAAACTTTTTGTAGAACAATAAAACCACGTTAAAAACCTAAACTTATTTTAGAACAATAAAACGACGTTAAAAACCTAAACATTTTTTAGAACAATAAAATCACGTTAAAAACCTAAACCTATTTTAGAACAATAAAACCACGTTAGAAACCTAAAGATTTTTTAGAACAATAAAATCACGTTAAAAACCTAAACCTTTTTAGAACAATAAAACGACGTTAAGAACCTAAACCTTTTTTAGAACAATAAAACGACGTTAAGAACCTAAACCTTTTTAGAACAATAAAAACACGTTAGAAACCTAAAACTTTTTTAGAAAAATAAAACTACGTGAAAAACCTAAACCTATTTTAAACAATAAAACCACGTTAGAACCCTAAAACTTTTTTAGAACAATAAAATCACGTTAAAAACCTAAACCTATTTTAGAACAATAAAACGACGTTAAAAACCTAAACCAATTTTTGAATAATAAAACCACATAAAAACTAAACCTATTTTATAAATAAAACCACGTTAAAAACCTAAACCTAAACACACTTTTATCAAATAAATAGTTAAAATCTTGCTAAAATTTGGAGAAGAGTTTCATGAGAGAACTTTTCTTTCAACCTCGGTCAGCCAATTAAAGTTTTTTCTTCTCTCTCTTTTATAAATGATGGGTGGGGAAGATAAGATTATAAGAATGAAAATGAGTTGGTAGGTATAGATTATAATAATGAAAATGAGATAGTAGGTAAAGATTATAAGAATGAAAATGAGTTGGTAGGTATAGATTATAAGAATGAAAATGAGTGGGTAGGTATATATAGATTATAAGAATGAAAATGAGTGGGTAGGTATAGATTATAAGAATGAAAATGAGTTGGTAGGTAAAGATTATAAGAATGAAAATGAATTTTGCTTTCAACATTTAAAATATTTCTACCTCAATTTTCATATTTACACAGAAAAGCACTCTAGCTGGATTCGTTTTCGGTTAAATTTTTGAGGTTGTTGGACTTAAATAAAAACAAATACTGTAAACTTTCAACATCTCAAAACTGTGTTCTGTAAAAGTTTGATTTTCTTAAAGTTTGTAGCATTTTTATTCTAAGAGAAAATATAAGGGAATACAAAATATAAATGATCTTTATAATTTATCTAAGGGTCAACATTTGATGTAAGAAAATCAAATGTTTAGAATATAAACAATCTTGAAATTTGTATAACTTCTTAGATTTTTGTAAAACCTCTCAGTCAAAAGTGGACCTGGGAAGAATTCATCATCATTGGAGACCCCCAGATTTTCTTAGGAGACCTCAAGCTTTTCATTGGAGACACCAGAATTATTTTTTTGGAAACCCCTAGATTTTCCTTAGAGACCCAAGATTTTTTCAGAGACCCCAGATTGTAATTTTAATTGGAAAACCCTAAATTTTATCGAAGAGCAAGGTTTCTCCAATGAAAGTTTGAGGGGTCTTCTTTGAAAATATTGGGTCTACGATGAAATGCTTGGGGTCTCTAATGAAATTAGGGGGTCTCCAATGAAAAACTTTGGTCTGCAATGATAAGCTTTAAGTCTCTAAAAAAATTAGGGGGCTCCAACGGCAATCTGGGGTCTCCGAAGAAATGCTTGGGGTCTCCAATGAAAATTTGGGGGTCTCAGACGAGATGACTTTGGAGGTCTCCAATGAAAGGGGGTCTCCGATAGTATTTCCTTAAAAGTCCAAATACATTTAATTTGCTTGTTAAAAACGAACCAAGCTATGTGTGACTACATATTGTAAGCTAGTAAAATTGGGTGCAGCATGTTTGGTTAAATTTTGGCAGCTTTTCTTGCCAGAACTAGGGCTGGGCACGTTTTCTCTTTTTTAATTCGTTCGTTACCGGTCAGACGCATCAAGTTTTTAACGGCATTAACGGTAGATAAAATATTCGTTATACCTCAATCTAATGAACGGTTTTGGGCTATAAATTGTAGACATGGCGAGAGTCGACATTTAAAAACATTATTTTTTTAGTGTTCCTCAAACAATATAAACCATTAAAAGTGACACATTTTGTCATTATTTCTAAAAACCATGCGTGCGTTTTTTTTAACTAGTCTCGATTATTTTCGTTTTTTAACGACTTTTGAAACTAACAATTTTTTTTAAAAACTACCATCCGTGCCCTGTCCTATTCCTGCATTAGACAGACTAGACCATACTAGACTAGACATCTGGAAACTAAACAAAAAAGAAAATATGTAATTATTTATGGTCTCTTTCTTCATTCCATTCTTCATTCTTCATTCTATTCTTTATTTCATTCTTCATTCTTCATTCTTCATTCTTTCATTCATCATTCTTCATTCTTCATTCCTCATTCTTCAATCTTCATTCTTCATTCTTCATTCTTCATTCTTCATTCTCCGTTCTCCGCTCTCCGTTCTTCATTCTCCGTTCTCCGTTCTCCGCTCTCCGTTCTTCATTCTTCATTCTTCATTCTTCATTCTTCATCATTCTTCTTTCTTCATTCATTATTCTTCATTCTTCATTCTTAATCCTTCATTCTTCATTCATCATTCTTCAATTTACAATCTTAATCCTGTAAACTATTTTTTTTATTTTTTCTTCCTGTATATTGATTTATAAATATAAATATAAAAAGAAGAAATATCAACAATTCTATACAAACATTTTTTGTATCGTATCTTATATATATATATATATGCTTACTCTTTTTTAATATATCTAGATATACATGTTTTCATTTCATTTATACTTTTTCATTCTAATTAAAAACTCTTTTCTTATTTATTACAATCCTTTAATCCCTTACTCCTTTATTAAGCTTAAGTCTAATATTGTTGATCCAATTTTTCACTAATTACTTTTTGATGAAAACTTTTTGTATTTTGTTCAGAGATTGTTTTTATTCAGCTTTTGTTAATTTTTGTTTATTTTATACACATTGTGTGTAGAACTATTGTACAGGTCAAACTAAATATTATATGTTTTTGATCAACACTCCTTATATTTAAGAGATATTGGGAAGAACAAAAATGTTGAATTTTTTATATGTTAACGGATATAGGAATTGAGTCTTTGCCACAAACTCTGATTTTCTAATTCCTATATCTCTGCAACCCAATGTCGTAGACCTTTAATATTTCAAGCTATAAACTCTGTTGCATCAAATTATCTTAGTTTGAAATATTAAAAGTCTACAACATCAGGTTCCAAAGATATAAAATTTGAGTTTGTTACAAGAACTCATTTTTTTACGTTCCTCAAACTTGTGCGTAAAATAAAAACTAGAGGAGCTAGGAGGTCACAAAGTGATACCGTCTGTAACCTTAGTTCTACATACAATGTGCAGACTTGAACTATAGTTATATATTCTATTCTGTGCATTTATCATGAAAACATATCGATTTATTTATTGTAAAAATTTGATTTGCATTTGGATAAATATATTTACAACAAATTATTAAATATCAAAATAAATAGTTAACTGCATAGACTTCATGAATATCTGTTGAAGGGATCCAATGTGTGCAGTGTTTCCCACCGAGGTGTCCTGCACTATTCCTAATGTTGGAGCTGCAGGAGCTGAGCAGGTAATATTCAAGCTAATTTCCAGATTTGGGAGCCGATAACTAATTTAAGTGTTAAAGGGACTGTAAGCGAAATGCCACTGTCTCAGAGAAACCACAAAAGAAAATAAACGGTTTAAAGGAACAAAAAACATGGATATCTAATTCACACTTGACCAGACAAAGTGTTCAAGGGTACCGTTACATCGGGCATTGCCATATTTGCTTGGATGGTCACTAGAAACTATACTTACAGTCACTTAAAGTTTCGATACCAGAGCCAATATATATATATTCTAAATATTGAAGCCAATAAGTTTCACCTAATCCAACACTCTTGGAATTATAACATATTAAAATGCATATATTAATAGATATTATATTAAAAAATTGATGTTTTTTACGGAATCAAAACAGTTTTTGTGTGCTTACACAAAATGTATTTGTGATAAAACCACAACAGTTTGTGCGTCCTAGAATATATTCGTTATAGAATCAGAACAGTTTGTACGTCCTAACCCAGAATATATATTTTAGAATCACAACAGTTTGTACGTCCTAACCCAGAATATATATTTTAGAATTACAGCAGTTTGTATGTCCTAACCCAGAATATATATTATAAAATAACAACAGTTCGTACGTCACAACCCAGAATATATATAAGAGAATCACAACAGTTCCTACGTCCTAACCCAGAATATATATTATAGAATCACACCAGTTTGTACATCCTAACGCAGAATATATGTTATAGAATCATAACGGTTTGTACGTCCTAACCCAGAATATATATATTATAGAATCACAACAGTTCCTACGTCCTAACCCAGAATATATATTATAAAATCACAACAGTTTGTACGTCCTAACCCAGAATATATATTATAAAATAACAACAGTTCGTACGTCACAACCCAGAATATATANAGAATCTCAACAGTTGCGTCCTATCACAGAATATATTTGTTATAGAATCACAATGGTTTGTGCGTCCTAACCCAGAATATTATCAACGAGAAGATCTATCTTGCACTTTGGTTCTGGTATGCTTTCTTGGGACCTGTATCAGTCTGCTTTATCCTTTTCAGGAACTTATCAATCAATTAATCAAATTTTTTCAATATAATCTATCAATCGACCAATCGGGGCAGGAAGAGTGTACCAATGATTGGAGATTGGAAATCAGGATAAGTGTACCAAAATCAACGCGAGTCTTCCTTAATAATTAGAAATAATAATAACATTGGTAGAGGGGCAACAAGTTAAATATAATGAAATGAAAGTGCGGGGGTGTTAATTGCATTTAGTATTTACATTTTTTGGTTTCCTTATTTTCGTACTTTCGTAATTTTTATTCTTTTACTTTCTTATTTTTTTATTTCTTTTCTTTTAACTTTCTACCGTGGCTATGGGACCGGGCCTGGTTTTTTCTTTTACTTTATTTTATTTCTATCTTTCTTTTATGAACTTTCTTTTGTAGGAGGGGGTTTTTTTCTTTTACTTTATTTTATTTCTATCTTTCTTTTATGAACTTTCTATTGTAGGAGGGGGGTTTTTTCTTTTACTTTCTTTTATCATTTTCTTACTGAAGGAGGGGGGCCGGGCTTGTTTTATAGATAGGAAGGGAAAGGAAATTGGAAAAGGGAAAATTAGAATGACGGGGAAAGGAAGAGGTATGAGGATAGGTAGGGGTAGGAGAAAAGAAGGAGTAGGGTGACAGAGTAGACGGAAAGGGAAGGATAAACGAAGAAGGGGCGGTGTAAGCAGAAAGAAAGGAGAAAAATAAACAGAAGGATGGATATAGGAAGGCACACAAACGGGGGAAGTAGGGGAATTAAAGAAGGTGGTAGGATTGAAGAAGGGGATGGGATGTAGGAAGGAGGGACTTTGTTATTGTTTTCTTTTATTATGAACACGTTCAATAATATAAATAAAGACTGCGTAGACATTTTAAGAACTGTCGGTGAGAAGGTTAAACACAGAATTGGTACACTATTCGTGTTATTGTTACACTCTTCTTGCCTCGCGATCAATCACCTTTTTTTTCAATATAGATTAATCTATCAGTCAATAAATCTCTCAATCGTTATCTTACCAATGCATCATTTTATCATTTAAAATTCGTTGATGGTGATGGACCAAACCTCTGTAGAGTAAAAAAGTAGATGTTAGTTCCACATTTATTGAAAATACATTTCGGTCTGGGTTGACCCTCGTCAGTTCTNTATCAATCAATTAATCTATCAATCTATTAATCTATCAATCCATTATTCTATCAATCTATTAATCTATCAATCTATCAATCTATCAATCTATTAATCATCTATTAATGAATCAATCAATCAATCTATCAATTAATTAATTTTTCAATTTATTAATCTATCAATCTATCAATTTATCAATCTATTAATCTATCAATCTTTTAATCTATCAATCTATTAATCTATCAATCTATCAATCTATCATTCTATCAATCAATCTATTAATCTATCAATCTATTAATCTATCAATCTATAAATCTATCAATTTATCAATCTAGCAACTTGAGATTATAAATAGAGCCTTAAAAACATAATTGATTGATTGATTGATGGTTACCAGGCTGATGACCTTGTTGTTCGATGGAGTTAGGTTCTCTCTGATTTACAAAACGGTAATTCTATTTTTCTTAAATCTCACACCTCATAACTATTGAATAAACGATAAGTTTATCTCATATTATTGAATAAAATTCATTTGACCAATGAGATAACTAAATCTTATTCCCAAGTTACAGCTTGGATATTTAGCATGTTTCACTCTTTAAAAACTTTAAAATATAAAATGAAGTCGAAACCTTTTACATTGAGTTCATATTCGTGTTTAAAAATAAACTATTAATTAAAAGATTCCAGGATTGTATGACGAGGGAACTGAGCTAGAGAATTAACAATAGAATATTTAAATCTTAAAATAGAATTTCATTCTCCTCGAAGTATACAAACTTTTAAACTTTTCTCACATTTTTAGCTTATCTTTAAAACCTAGAAAAATATGTTTTAATCAAATCTGTTTCTTTAATCCCAACTTAAATTTTCTTTAAAATTATTTTTTTTTAAAGTTTATTTTGTCAATTCGGTTTTCATTCAAATCTTAAAAGAACTAGTTTCCTAGATTTTTAAATTCAAAAGAAAACAACTTAGAACATTTTTTTTTTGGAACTAAGATGGAAACTTGATTTTCAATTTTTTTTAAATGTATCTACTGAGAAATTAAGTATCTTTCTATTATTTCAAAATTAAAAAGTTTATAATAAGTTTAAATACTTTAGATTCGACACAAATATGATGATGATGTTAGAAAATGCTTAGAATATGTTCTTGCTAAGGTACCTATCCATAGAGAATAGAATATATATTAGAGGGGAATTTACTAAAAAAAAGTGTAAAACGGCCATTTTGTTGTACTGTTTCCATACTGCAGGTGTACTTCACATAATTATGCTATNATATACGTCTACAATCCCTTTAAATAGATTTTAAAGTTTGTTTGATTTCCAGGGTCAGATTGGAGATTGGTTTGTTCTGCATCAGCTCTGTAAAAACTGTAATCCATATTTCTTCAGGAAATCACAATAAAAATAATATTTAAAAACTCCGCTATTCTGCTATTTGAAGTAACCTACAGACTTTTAGGCAGCTACACAAATCATTCATATATATAGTTAGAACTGGCCGTGTTCCTCATTTTTTGAAAAAACATCGGGAAAGAACGATCGTTCCCCAGGAACAACGCCCAGTCCTATGTATAGTGAATTCTGACTTAAGACGGAAAAACGGGTCAGAACGCGCCAATTCGGGTGAGCACGCGCCAAACGAGTCCGCACGCGTCAAACGAATCAACCCCCATTACTGTAGAATTAATGTGCTTTTGTCTGTTTTTGAGGCCAAATAGGCTTTGGTACCCTCTATTATTTTGCGATATTTTTCTTTACATTTTATACCATGTCATGCACATTACAGATATCTTGAATTTCATATTTTTATATTGTATACATTTCTATTTTATTGTGTTTATGTACAGGCAGTTTATCAAGGACCTGGCTGTGGAATTAAAATGCAGACCTAAACGATCAAAATCTGCTTTCAGTAAGATTTTTTCTTTTTAAGCAAGAGTTAGAACAACATTGCTTCCTTGGTTCTAACTTTTATCATTCAAAATTTAGAAAAGTTATCTTAAACAAAATTGAAACGAAATTTTTTTTCCTTTATTTGATAATCATTTACAATTGTTTTCAACTTTTAAATTGCAACATTCAAAATATTTCGTTGAAGTCAAACAATTTTTAAAAAAAATCATAATTTCATGTTGATATAAGAGCGTTTAGACACACTATCCGCTGTTTAGTTTCCTGACAAAAGCCAATATTATGTATAAGTTCAATGCAAATTTATGCAGAAATAAATACCAAATCCATATAACTTTTGTGCTTTTCCGTTGTACAACTGAAAACTCTCATGATTTTGAATTTACGTCAAAAATAAGATAAAATCAATTAAGATGAAAGGCATGCACTACGTTTTTTACCTGTTTACAGGTACCGCCATGAATCACTTTGAATTGTGGGTAGTTTCAATTTTTTTTTTTTTTTTTTTGCAGGTAATGGGAAAGGAACCCTGCCACGTGGGACTTTGCCGCGTGACAAACTCTCCGTAGACGAGGACGCGCTGATGTCCGTAATATCACACGATGGAACGGAAGACGACAGCAATCATCTTTCGTAAGATTTGAAAATAGTTTTGAATTGTGAAAACAACGAAAAATGCAAATTGGTAGGGTTAAAAATCAAAATTTAAAATTTACCAATTATAAAAAGTCTGATCGAATTTTGATATGAATATAATATGAGAAAATTTAGTTAAAAAAACGCTTAATCTCTATTCTTTACTAACTGTGAGCTTGCTTGAATAATAATAATAATATATGCTGTCTTCTCTCCGTTTTCGCTTTTATAAATTTAAAGTTTTCCACCTTTCAAAATTCAATTTAAAGTTTAGTTTAATTTCACTTTTTATAACTTTTCTAGAAAACAATATATATTTACATTTTAACTTTTTTATGTTTAATACAAAAAGTTATATATCCTTTAATAATAATCTTGATCTGTTTAATTTAGTTATTGTATACACAAAAGGAACTGTTCACAAAAATTAAAAGGGATTTACAAAATACATAAAGTTCATAACTTATCATGTTTTTGATATATTATATTAGTTTGAGCCTAATTATCACTTTAACCTTGAACTGGCCAGGGTGGGATGCGTATACCTACCAAAAAGTCTAAAAGAGAAATAGCGAAAAAAAACATGTTAAATGTTTCAAATTGTGATCAATATTCGAAAGTCACAACTAGTTGGGAAAAAAGACCGAACTGTATATTCAGCGTTCATGTTTAACTTAAAAAACTGTAAAATATCGGATATATTTTAAGTAATTTAAACATTTAATATTTTTTAGTCGCAAAGTAAAAGGTTTTCATCGGATTAAATTATTATTAGTATCGATATATTATTAATACTTATGTGTTTTCGTGAACTTTCCCATAGAGTAAAAAGAAATTTAGCCTAAACTAAATGTAAACAAAGACCTGAAAAAAAATTATTGATTTTTTAGTAAAATTTCTTTAAAGAAATTGAGTTTTTGGCAAAATAATTGCAAAAATGAAGTGATCAGATAATTTTAGTTTGTGGCAAAAACTCAGTTGTTACAATAAACTAATATTTTTTAAAATTGATAAATAACAGATTCGTATTCTTCAATATATGGAGTTGAATATAAATATGTATTTTTAACAAATGTAGATCTGTTGTGCTCTCTATAAATAAATATTATGAAAAAAATAGTTTTTTATTTGTTTCAATCCCCGTAGGTTTTACATACATAAAGTTGAACTGACTTCAGGTTATTGATAAATATGCACTTTTAAGATGAGAAAAGTAGCAAAAAATAGGTGAAAAAGCTTGCAAATAGAAGTCCCATAATAAATTTAATCCATGCAATTATTTAAATAGATAGATATTACGTTTATTTGACCAACTTTATGTAATGATTAAAAACTAGGGGGCCTGCAACATTTAATCAACTTTCAGAATTTAAATTTAATTTTAAATATTTATTTTGTTGCAGACCCCCTGGTTATGATGAAGATATGAGTGTTGAGGGGGTTGAGGGGGGGAGGGGAGGGGGTATACTCGAAACCAAGGCACTTCTAGNATCTTTGATATTTCAAACTTAGACAATTTGATCCGACAGAATTTAAACTTTGGAATATCTAAGTTCTACGACATTTAGATGCAAAGAAATGGAGATTAAAAAATCAGAGTTTGTGGCAGAGACTCAATTCCTGTCTAACTGATTATTATATTTGATAACTAACAAGATTTATCTTCTTTGACAAAAGTTCTATAAAATCGAAAATGAATTTAGATTATGAATGATGGTTACCAATCATTAATTCAATAACTTCAAGAGAAAAGGTAACATTATCTGTCCTTTGTCAATGTAGATGATTGAATTTATTATTTACCTATGTATTTTTATGATTATTTCTTGCAATTTAATCTGTAATTAAACCAGGTACTTAAAAAATATTCTTTTGCAATTCGCACACATATTCAATGAATTGACTAATATCATTCATTTTACAGCTGTTGGAAGTATAAATTTTGTAAAAACACAAGACCAAAAAATCGATTTGAATTGAACACAGCCAAATCTGCATGCAACAACTTAAAATTTCCTTTTTTTGACTTCAAACCCTTAAAAAAAACTTTTGTTTTTGAAAAATTCTCGAACCCCCCCTGACCCTTACAAAATAATATTTTGCCCCCCCCCCTAGCAAAAGTCCTAGTTGCGCCTCTGATATCTCTTGTAAACCTTGTAAACACTGTAAACATAGAAATCCAAATTGGATTTGTTATACAGAATGTTTTCAGAAGAATTGTCTTGTTTTTCTTATCTTTTGTTTATGGTGTTTAGCAATTGAAAGAAAAACAAACTAGAAAGATAAAAAAATTGAAATTCATGAATTCTGATTAATAGGTTTAAAAAACTTTCTAAGACTAAACTAAAAGGACTGTATAGACGGTATCTTAATTGAACCTCCAATTATAAAGTTACATGTTTAATTCACAACAGGAACCCTTTAAACTTTTATCTGATCAAAGATGCATGAGATGAAAGTTTATTATTTCGACTGTGGGATTTCTAAAAAGTGAAATGCGGATACATGCTGCAGGGCCATTGGAGGAGAAAAAGATTCAAGTAGAGGGAACAAATGTGAATTTGACATGCTTCTCTGTAAATGGAAGGTCACTTTAAGTTACGTTGATAATCCCTTTAGGTTCTTATTATTTCAGTCGGCCCCCATTACGTAAACCTCGCCCCCGGAGCAGGAGTAAAGGTAAAGGAATGAAGGGGCGGGGTGGAGGCAAGATGGGCAAGGCGATGGGTAAAGCAGCGTTCTTCTAAATCTGGAAGATATGATAAGTCTCCCAGAAAATGACAAGTTCTATGAACAATGTCTCGTGTATTGATGAAGTGAACAAAAATATGCACAATCAGGATTTTGCCCAATACTCCTTCAATCAACATATAACCATGATTTCATATATCGGACTATACATCAGTATACAAGGAGCTGGGAACTCTAGTGTTGGATACTCACAATCCAGATTGATCTCGATATCTAATTTGGGCAATTTTGATTTAAGGATCAATGCTTTATTTCTTTATTTTAGTTATTCAACCACTGATCAAATCTCCTTTCAACCACTGACTGGGTAGTGGGTACGAATACCATGCAGGAAATCAAACAAAGATTAATTTAATCTGTAGATTAACAAAAGATCAATAATCTTGATCTCGATATCGCCAAAACGAGAGTTCCCTTCTCCAGTTAAAGTTTCGTTTCATATTTTATAAAAACGATTTTCAAACGTTTCGTTTCATTTGTGGTTGTGAAAAACCTTACCATGTACCATGTACCATATATTGTAATTTTTAAAGCTGTAGTTATTACGCTGCATAAAAACAGATTTCATTGCTTGTCTTTTAAATTTGAATTTGAACAAGCAATTAGAATTAAGCATTTAGTTTAAACCAATTCGCGTTTATGAATAGACATGAATAATATTATCATTTTATATTATGGGGGATTCCGGTATCACGATTTTGGAAAAATTTTAGTGTGAAAATATTTCTATTTTGATTTGAAGACTTCTTAATTCCAAAATTCGTAGATACGCATGATTCTAAAATTACTTAACAGTTACAAAAAATCGATATCAAACAATTCTGAAATAATTTTCAACGATCTTTTGTACATTTCGTTCAAATTTAAAATAGTATGGCTTACACGGTTCAAAAAACTTTATTATGCTCCGATTCATTCTTTTTTTAAATCTTTTCAAATCTGAACTCAGCATGAAACACAATTTTTAAAAAAATATATGTTTAGATATTTCAAAAATACATAAAAATGCAAGTATGGTATAGTATAAAATGTATGTTTCTCACAATTTTCTCTCTACCTTAAATTTCACAAAATATCAATTTTATACTTTTGCTTCAAAACCACTCTAAAATCCATTTTAGTGTAACTTAATTTATAAAAAGTTTTAGATTGTAAACTAAATTAAAAGCTAAAATAAAAACTAACTTAAAATAATGTTAGCATAAATAACATTTTCTCAAATAAAATAAATTTTTTTTTCAACTTTGATGACTTGATTTTTAACAAAATATTTTATTTTTTGGGTTTTTTCTTTTCATAAATAGTTTTCCCTTGGAGGGGAATAAGGAAGGGGGGGATTTAATGGTTAAATAAACAATTACAAAAAATACAGGAAAATTACACGAAAAATAAAATAACGGATTACTCCTAAACCTACTCCTAAACCGTGGAAATTTTTTCTTGTTAAAGGGAGTGTTCGCGAAAAATGAAATGGGGTATAGGCTTAATGCGATAAAAAAGCGCTTTCGCCACATTTATATATAGTTAATATTTCATAATTTTTTTTAATTGTTATGATATGAGAGTTACTTATAAAAACATTTATTCCTGTTTCGAGGATTTTTGGTAATGAAGACGACATTTTCATATTTTCCGGGAATGTTCGAAAACAAGTTGGAAGCTAAATATTATTTTAAAAAATAAAATCAAAACTAGTATGAAATATCAAATATATACAAATGTGGCGAAAGATAATCGATGACCATAGGTTGTATTATCTGAATGATTTGTTTGAAATTAAATTGATTTTTTTACGGTCTAAGTCGTATGTTGCAATTTTCTCAATTTGTATGGACGCCATGTTATTCGGTATAAGACGCCTTTAACAATTTTCTCCTTATAGACGCAACAGATAGAAGTAAGATTAGTAGCAATCAAAAGCGCTTTTTTTATCGCATTAAGCCTATACCCCCTTTAATTTTTCGAGAACACTCCCTTTAACAATAATTTTGCAGTTAAGGGAAATATAAAAAGGGGGAATTTAAATGGTATATTGGACATTTAAACAAATAAAAAAATCAGAAAACTCATGACAAAATAAAACAAAAGATTACTCTTAAACAAATGAATTATTTTCTGTTTAAAAAAGTATTTTTTTTACTGTTTTCCTTAAACTCTGCAGACTGCAAATGCTTAAAGTTTTTATTAAATGTTTTTATTATAATTGAAATTGAAAATCCTGTAAAGTCGTTTGTCTTCCTTCTAAATAATGACCCTTTATACGATCATCATCAATGCAATCTTTATCATCATAAATTGTATTTTTTTTATAAAGGGCCCTATATTGGATATGGTTTAAAAAAGGTAAAAAAAATTTGGAGATATTTCACAAAAAAATCTTGGTCGCCTCACCAGGGGCGAATACATGATTTAAGTGAGGGGGGGGGGCAAGATTTTTTAGGAACAAAAAATTCATAATTAGGAACAAAAAATCGCGGCGCAGGCGAAATTTGTTTTTGACTTAAAAGACTCAAAAATAGTCAAAATTAATGAGTAAAGACTAAAAAACTAGATTTTTAACTTTTCACACATTCTAGTTTATTAAGACAGATATTTCCCTTAAGCATGCTATTGAGAAGCTATTCTGAAAATAGGAACAAAAATAAAGGATTCAGGGGGGGGGGCTACGCCCCTCCCTGAATCTCACACCTTTTAAAATATGAGAACCTTTGTTTTAACAAAAATATTTTCTAAATGACATTTTTTCCTTCAAAAACCACAATAATTGTGAGATAAAAACACACCCTTTCTTTTATATTAAATTAATTGTGAAGTTAACGAAAAGTTCTGAAACTGAAATGAAATTAATTTTCTCAAATACAATTGAGACCAAATTGAGACGAACTAGAATGCTTTCTTTCTTTCTCATTTTTGCAAATATATATATTATATTTTTTGATATTTTGATTAAATATTGACAGTTTTCTTGTAATCTTTTCTCTGATAAACATTTTTTGTAGCAACGCAAAATATTGCAATGTCTATTTCTTAAAATTATTTTTTTTAAATCTAACCCCTGTGATCTGTTGTAAATGTTTATGTTATTAATAAATAAATTTAACCCTAAAATTAAAACTGAAGTTTAATTTTAGCGCGTGATGGTTTAACCAAGGTTGTTTCTAAAGGTTGCATGCTTGCACTCGACGCGCTCCAATTTACGGAAAATGTCGTCTCCTCAGTATTAATGGACATTGGACTCTGCGAAGGCTGCAGCCACTAAACCATACACTCGCCTCTCTAATCAATGACGTCATTTACGGATTTCGCTGTTCATTACTTGGAAGACAACCATTTCCGTACATTGGAGTGCATCGAGAATACGCAACCTTAATAAACAACCTTGGTTAAGCCGTCGGTAGATAAACAACCTTGGGTTTAACTCAGAACTCCAATAATCTGAGGACAAAACTTTTGTATTATAAATCTGTTCTTAACCCGCTCAGTCGGATAATGAGACAGATAGAAAGATAGATGTTACAGCCATACTATTTCTATTGTTTCAGAATAAATACCAAACACATGTCTGAACCCGGATCAGGCGCTAATGGACTCGGCATACAGGAGTGCTCGGTTGCTTTTCTCCCTGCATGCATGGTGGTTCAATTTCAGTCGTCGGACGAGTCTGACACAGTCGGAGTACATTTGAATTTCCGAGCCGGGTCAACCTTTCCGTTCCCAGTTTGTACTGTACCTAGCTTTATGGACATGACTAGTCGGTGCAACAAGGTTGACGCGGTCAGACTTTATGTTTCATATAGGTTGAATTTTTTTTTTACTAAAGGGGCAGAGGTGAGTGATCCTTGTTGTTCAGATTTTTATGCTTCGAACAAAACATGTTAAAGCAATCAAGATTTCAAAAACTCTTAAAAATCTTAAAATTGATTTGCACCGAGAAAAAATGTACAAGCCAACAATATATTTCGTATAAAATATGCATGTAAACATTTTATTTTCATATTAGATCTAAGATAATATTGATATTTTTAGGATAAAGACGTCAGCAATAATATTTAGTTTTGTAGAAATATTGTTATTTCTTAAAAAGCTTTTTTAAAGGGATTGTAGGTGGAAAGATGCCAAAACCCTATTCACAAGGATATCCGTGAAACCGTTATCTTATCAATAATGAGATAAGAAATAAGATATTGACGTATTCTAGGCATAAAAGTTAAACTAATCAAACACTTTCAATTAAAAATTTTTTAATTCTGATGATTCCTTTGTTTATTCCCACTTCCTCTACTTTTAGAGGTTTTTAAATATTTTCTCCTGAAACACTTTATTTTGTATGTTTTTGTTATTATTCATAAATAAGTAATTTTTTACTTTACTTTACTTTACTTATCTGCAAAAGCAATGCGCGAGTCACTTTTTAAAGAGAAACCACAACAGTTTTCCAAGTCATAAACATAGACATCTATTTCATAGTTGACCAGACAAAGCTTTTAAGGGTACCGTTGTGAATCGGGCATTGCCATGGTTGCCTGAAGAGTCACCTAACATTACGCTTACAGTCTCTTTCAGTATCATAATTGGTTGTGGATTGAATTTTGAATATGTCAAACCGACCGTAAATTTACGTATCAGGTCTTCCATATTGAAAACTACATCTAGTTCAGATTTGATTTGAGTTAAAAAAAATTCTGAACCATAACTTTGCTTTCTTAAAAATGATTTTTCACACAGATAAAGTAAAAATTTTTTAGATAAATATTTTTCCCTGAAGAATGTAAACATGTTCAAATATGATCAAAACATTTAGAATTATAAAAACGTTTAAGAATATGAAGCACTCCACTTTAGCTTATACACTTAAACACAACTCTAATATACGAGGATCACAATTAATTAGTTTAATATTTGGCAAACATTTTGTCAAAAGTCAGACTTTAAAAAAAATTATTTCGAAAACACAGGACAGGATGAATAAATGAGAGAATGAATGAATTTTTGAATACTGTCTTCAACTTGAATTTAACATTTTAAACAAGTTTAAAACTTATGAATAGTTTATACTCAGATGGTGTTCAGTTTATCCGTTGATCTTTTTAAGCCTTTCAGAAGAACAAGAGGTGGTAGATGTCCAATATCCTCAACATCATTGGCTTTAATTGACTTGACGTTCTTGTATTCTAATGACTTGAGGTCCTCGGTATCTAATGACTTCAGGTCCTTGGTATCAATGACTAGACGTCCTTAGCAATTAGTGACTTGAGGTCCTTGACATTTAATGACTAGAGGTCCTTGACATCTAATGATTAGAGGTCCTTGACACCTAATGACTAGAGGTCCTTGACATCTAATGACTATAGGTCCTTGACATCTAATGACTATAGGTCCTTGACATCTAATGACTATAGGTCCTTGACATCTAATGACTATAGGTCCTTGCCATCTAATGACTAGAGGTCCTTGACATCTAATGACTATAGGTCCTTGACATCTAATGACTAGAGGTCCTTGACATATAATGACTAGAGGTCCTTGCCATCTAATGACTAGAGGTCCTTGACATCTAATGACTAGAGGTCCTTGACATCTAATGACTAGAGGTCCTTGGTATCAATGACTAGACGTCCTTAGCAATTAGTGACTTGAGGTCCTTGACATCTAATGACTAGAGGTCCTTGACATCTAATGACTAGAGGTCCTTGACATCTAATGACTAGAGGTCCTTAGAGTTTAATTACTTGGCTCACTTGAGTTCCTTAAGATCTATTGGTTTCTCAGCATAGATTCTAATCATAAAGTTGCTTGAGACTCCGTACTCAAAGGTTGCTGGGATTATGATGTAGCTCCCGACAGATAACTCAAATCTGAAATTATTATTTTTTGTGGAGATTTTTCGCTTTTCTAATATCATTATTATTTTATGTATCTATCTTTACCTACGAAGAGCTAGGATATTTTATATTTTTTAATTGATTTTTTTTTTGTATTTAAAAGAAGGAATTTACGATGTTTTTTCTTCCTTCTTCCTTTCTAGAAATGAATCCCAAGATTAATTTAGAGCATAGACAAGAACGACACAATGAGGTTAAACCATTTCCAGAAAAAGTTGTATGTCACCCCTTCTCATAGGACTGTGCTTACTGGAACTGTAAACGTACTTTTAATTGACCCTGAATATATAGGGATTGCATATCCAATTCACACCTTTGTATAATCAAGGATTAATGAGATATGTTTATTTGTCTATCTGAAAATTGACATTTTTCGACACATGTGGTTTCTCTGTATAAAAGTGATTTACATATGCATACTTTGAAATTGATAGATTTCAACACTTTATCAGACCACATCTTCATCATGGGTTCTTAGACAGAGAATAAATTGGCTCTGCTGTGAATCGGACATGCCACTCTATAAATGGAAGGTTAAATTGCAGTACAGTCCCTTTCAAATTATCTTAACACTTCTTTTAGATTGGTTTGGTTAAAGGGAGTTAACTTCCAAACCCTTTAGACTGGTTTATTTAAAGGGAGTTAACTTCCAAAACCTTTAGACTGGTTTAGTTAAAGAGAATTACCTTCCAAACCCTTTATATTGGTTTAATTAAAGAGAATTAACTTCCAATCCCTTTAGATTGGTTTAGTTAAAGGGAATTAACTTCCAAACCCTTTAGACTGGTTTAGTTACAGTAAATTAACTTCCAATCCCTTTAGATTGGTTTAGTTAAAGGGAGTTAAATTCCAAACTCTTTAGATTGGTTTAGTTAAAGGGAATTAACTTCCAAAACCTTTACATTGGTTTAGTTAAAGGGAGTTTACTTCCAAATCCGTTAGATTGGTTTAGTTAAAGGGAATTACCTTCCAAACCCTTTAGATTGGTTTATTTACAGGGGGTTAACTTCCAAACCCTTTAGACTGGTTTAGTTAAAGGGAATTACCTTCCAAAACCTTTAGATTGGGTTAGTTAAAGGGAATTACCTTCAAAAACCTTTAGATTGGTTTAGTTAAAGGGAATTACCTTCAATAACCTTTAGATTGGTTCAGTTAAAAAACCTTTAGATTGGTTTAGTTAAAGGGAATTACCTTCCGATCCCTTTAGATTGGTTTAGTTAAAGGAAGTTAACTTCCAAATCCGTTAGATTGGTTTATTTAAAGGAAGTTAACTTCCAAACCCATTAAACTGGTTTAGTTAAAGGGAATTACCTTCCAAAACCTTTACATTGGTTTAGTTAAAGGGAATTACCTTCCAAAACCTTTAAATTGGTTTAGTTAAAGGAAGTAAACTTCCAAATCCTTTAAGATTGGTTTAGTTAAGTGGAGTTAACTTCCAAACCCTTTAGATTGGTTTGGTTAAGGGGAGTTAACTTCCAAACCATTTAAGATTGGTTTGGTCAAAGGGAGTTAACTTCCATACCTTTTGAATTGGTTTGGTTAAAGGGAGTTAACTTCCAAAACTTCCAAATCCTTTAAATTTGGCTTATTTAAAGTAAGTTACCTTCCAAAAACCTCTCTGTAGTTGATATATGGTCCTGACGTTCCACAATCGTAATTATAAAGGAAATGATGAGGATTTAACCGGTTTTCTCCTTCTCCTGCTCGGTACAGGCAGAACCCTATTTGTAACATTTTTACCTGAACAATAAAGTTTTCTTAACAATTATTTAATATAGGGTGTTCCAGAAGACAAAATAATGTTTTTGATCTACTTTAATTTACAGGTTGAAATTTCACATGATTTCCTTTTTTTAAAGAAATTTTTCGATAATTTTTAAAGACTACGGTTCGTAAATAGAACCCTACCCACCCTATGTTATGGTGTAAAAAAAGACAAGAAAAGATCATTAAAACATTTAATGGTTTGTAACGTGGACCAATTGTTCCCCAATGGGAAAATTTTTGTAAGGCGTCCCTGACTAAAACAATAAGCATCCAGTCTCCCTGATCCTGGGTTTTCTATATTTTGGTCTGCATATTTTGACCTTTACAATCAATGGATATTTTTAGCATTTTTTAGACAAATTATCTTAATTTTAAACATCTCCGGTTAGTTTAAGGTGCAAAACCTGTAGACCATATTTTGGAATACACAGGATTCGCAGATTATTTTTTACAAGAAAAATACCTTTTTATCTCTTTGACTCCTTCTATGCTCCTGAGCTAAACATATGATAACTTGACATTTTGGGTCAGCTGCACCACTTTCATCCTCATCCTGCAATATTCAAGATTTTAGATCATTTATTGAATTTTCAGCACCCTTGCTCGTCTAAAAAAAATTCAATATAAGAACAGAAACTTGTCGGATTGGAGAGAAGTTTAAATTTCTTGTTGTTCTTCGGGTTAGAGATAATACAGATGGTGTAAGAGAAGCAGTAGGTTTTGGAATTGTTAGTGTAATAATATCTTATATCATCTCCCTCCCCCTCCTCCTTCTTCATCTCCTCCCCTCCCCTATTCTCTGTACATTTTAAGGATACTTAGAAATGTTCATTGTACATGTAAATTAGTTTTTAATATTTAAACCAATGTACATATAAGCACAAGTACAAGTAAAATACAGTCGTTTATCAAAAGTTTGTTCCAAAAAATTTGTTCGTTTAGTAAAACACAATCTTTTTTTCAAATTCTGTTGGAAAATTCGTTCGTTCAGTAAAAAACAAAAAAAAATTCAGCTTTGTTCTAACGATTTTCAGTCGTTCGTTTTTGTGTTCGGTTTTGTTCGTTCTTTTTTCGTTTCTTTTCCGAAACGATAATTTTTTTTTCTCTGAACGATCCATTTCGTTTCACGGAAAAATTTGTTCGTTCAAAAATATTTCATTCGTTCAAAAAAAATTATGCCCATCTCTACTCAGAAGTATAAGAAAAGCAATTTTAGCCAGTTCTATCCAAGAATATTTTAGTTTTTCTCAATTGCTTCTCAAGAAGAGGATTTATCATTGAAAACATAAAAGATTTAAACCTTACGTACAATCTACTTGACTTTGACGTGAACTACTTTCTACGTCTTTGTGTAGACAGTAGATCTACTTAAATATAAAATCTTTGTGTAGACAGTAGATCTACTTAAATATAAAATCTTTGTGTAGACTGTAGATCTACTTGTAAATATAAAATCTTTGTGTAGACAGTAGATCTACTTAAATATAAAAATCTTTGTGTGACAGTAGATCTACTTAAATATAAAATCTTTGTGTAGACAGTAGATCTGCTTAAAAATAAAATCTTTGTGTAGACAGTAGATCTACTTGTAAATATAAAATCTTTGTGTAGACAGTAGATCTACTTGTAAATATAAAATCTTTGTGTAGACAGTAGATCTACTTAAATATAAAATCTTTGTGTAGACAGTAGATCTACTTGTAAATATAAAATCTTAGTGTAGACAGTAGATCTACTTGTAAATATAAAATTTTTGATGAGACTTAATTTCAAAACTTAGTTTAAAGTTTCCACCTGTTCAGCTTGATTGATGTTTAGAAGAAATTGAGGATTTGTTGCAAACCGGTTCAAGTCATTCCTACACCCACCAGCTGTCATCCCTGTCATCCACTAGATATATTTATATTTAATTATTCATTCATTAGATAAATTCATCCATTCATCCCTGACATTCACTAGATATAATTATATTTATTCATTCATTCATTAGATATATTCATCATTCATCCCTGTCATTCACTAGATATATTTATATTTATTCATTCATTCATTAGATAAATTCATCCATTCATCCCTGTCATTCACAAGATATATTTATACTTATTCATCCTTTCATTAGATAAATTCATTTATTCATCCCTGTCATCCACTAGATATATTTATTTTTATTTATTCATTCATTAGATAAATTCATCCATTCATCCCTGTCATTCACTAGATATATTTATATTTATTCATTCATTCATTAGATATATTCATTCATTCATCCCTGTCATTCACTAGATATATTTATATTTATTCATCCATTCATGAGATATATTCATTCATTCATCCCTGTCATCCACTAGATATATTTATACTTATTTATTAATTCATTAGAAATATTCATTCATTCATCCCTGTCATCCACTAGATATATTTATACTTATTTATTCATTCATTAGATATATTTATATTAATTCTTACATTCCTTTCATCTACTAGATATATTCATTCATTCCTGTCATCTACTAGATATATTAATTTATTCCTGTCATCCACTAGATATATTAATTTATTCCTGTCATCTACTAGATATATTAATTTATTCCTGTCATCTACTAGATATATTAATTTATTTCTGTCATCCACTAGATATATATTCATTCATTCCTGTCATCCACTAGATATATTCATTAATTCCTGTCATCCACTAAATATATTCATTCATTAATGTCATCAACTAGAAATATTCATTCATTCCAGTCATCCACTAGATATATTCATTCATTCCTGTCATCCACTAGACATATTTATGTATTTATATATCCACTAGATATATTTATTCATTCCTTTCATCCACTAGATATATTTATGTATTTATATATCCACTAGATATATTCAATATTCATTTATTCCTGTCATCCACTAGATATATTTGTGCATTCATATATCCACTAGATATATTCAATATTCATATATCCACTAGATAAATTCAATATTCATTTATTCATTTATCATTTATTGGTCCATAAAACGATATTAATTCTAGAATATTTACTAATTAACGGTATAATTACCTCTCCGAAAATGATCTTGACATATTTAGCAGAATCCACCTGACCATCATGATCAAAATCAGGACCCAGGGTACATATACTCACTTCCTGATATATATAATAAATCAGGACCCAGGGTACATATACTTACTTCCTGATATTTAAATAATAAAACAAGACAACGACATATATGTTCCCTCTGGCCGGCCAAACGGCTGGACTGAATGGGCTAAATTTATTGTGGACACTCATTGGTAGCCTGGGGGTGACATAGGATAAAAAATTAGAATATTTTATCTTCACAGTTTGTTTAGCTAGTATATAATAAATCAGGACCCAGGGTATATACACTCACTTCCTGATATATATATTATAAATCAGGACCCAGGTTATATATGCTCGCTTCCTGATATATATAATAAATCAGGACCCAGGGTACATTTACTTACTTCCTGATATATCTAGAAAATAAAACAAGACATTCGTATATATATATGTTGCTTATAGCCGGTAAAACGGCAGGACCAATTGGGCTAATTTTTTTTGTGGCTAAAAAAAGCTACATACACTCACTTTTTGATATATATAAAAAATCAGGACCCAGAGTACATATACTGAGTTCCTGATAAATATAATGAATCATGACCCAGGGTACATACTTACTTCCTGATTTGTATATATATATATATATATATATATATATATA